TTTACATACTCGACCTAATGCAGCACTTGTTAATCCATCCATCATAACACAAGACCACCATACGCGTCTTCTAATTTCAGTTTGTCTTACATCAAGATTCCATTTTGACGAATCTCGATGTAATCCCATATCTTGAGCAAGACGAATAGCTATACCCGCATATAACCATGATGAAGAATTTTTTGCGCTTTGAAGATTTCCTGCCAACAGTACAAGTGCCTGAATGTTTGTTAAGGTCGCACTGTCGAACTCGTCTTTAAGCAATTCTTTTGCTCGTTCAGTGTATTCCTCACCTTATAATATTTAATTGATTAGTAATTTGAAATATCATATCGCAAATTGATGACTATATTAATGACAATTTAATTTTTTGAAATTTCAAACGAAGATATCTTGACTACCATTTGATCAAATTCGATTGTTATTATTTTAATTCTACATATTTAAAATTCAAACGTTATCAAATAGAAATCATGGAAATTTTATTTTTTAAAGCATCGAGTTATTTCGACAATTACTTGATCAAATTAAATGAATCTCTTTATATTTTAATTCTATAGATTTGTAGATTACACCTAATTTGAGTAAATAGGCAAATAGCTGTCGAAAAATCTTTGTTCAAAATTTTGTAAAAATTCAAAACATCAATTTTTCCAAAATTTTGATCCAAAGCAAAAATATTCATCAGATAGAAACCACAACAAAATTTTTTAAAATCTAAAAGTTTCTAAATATTCAAAAAATTTTCATCGAATTTAATCAAGCAGCAATCGAGATATCTTTGTTCAGAATTTTGTAAAAATTTAAAACGTCTCACACAGAAGTCACAACAAAGATTTGTAAACTTTAATGAATACACCCTGATAACTAAACAAAATTTAATGATAATTTTTCATTTTATTTCTACACATTTATAGAATCAAATAAAAAATTTGATTGAATAGTTGTCTAGAAATCTTCATTGTTTTTTTTTTTTTTTTTGTAAATTGGGGCGATGTACACAAACTGATGTACGAAAAAAAATAAACATACCGACAGTAGACGGATTGTCAGGATCCTTATAGACGGCAGGGCTTGGATGAAATTTGGCACTGATAGCAAACATGGCATAAAGAAGTATAATCAAAGAATGATTATTTTCCAGATCGTTATATTTTTCCATAAAATCCTCTTTATCAATGAAAGGCATGTATGAATGGCACTCTCTCCAATAAATATCTAACAATTGATCACATAACTCCTTTGGAGGAAGTTTTGATGCAGTATCTGAGAGCGTATTTTTTTTTGCGAAGCACTCCAGACGATAATTATGATTCTCATGAAGAATTTTTTTTGCGAATTTTTTAATTATTGTTACACCAGAACTGTTTCCTAAATATCTTGTATGCCCATTTTCATCGATTGTAAGTTGACCCATACTGTCGCTTAAGTCACAAGATTGATCGTCATCACTCGATAAACGCTCATCAGTATCGCTGTCTTGGCCATTTTGGGAGTTCATAAGGTATAAATCCTCATCGTTTGAAGTTGGTGAATCATGAGGTTTTTGTAAATTATTAACGATATTATTTTTAAAGCTATTTTCATTAATATTAATCCACTCGAGGTTTGAGTTAATTACACTTTCAGGCAAATTTCCGGATTGTACCAGGTTCCCAAGAACGGATTCCATCCTTTGAAGCCTTGTTTCCAATGCTTCGATATAACCTTTTGGAGGACCTCGTTTTTTGGGTGCATCAATGAAAGAACTATCAAAAATGTAAAAAAAGTATCTCAGCAAAATCGGACAGTAATATATATATATATATATATAAACAAAGTAAAATAGCTTGGACTAGGAATATGGTGCATCACATTATACTTGCTGGCAAAACCTCCAAACCCAAAAAAAGCACTTTACAAAAAATTAAATCAAAAAATTAATCTTGATACTTTACAAATATGTTATATATGACTATGAAATGTATATCATTTGTTTAAACAAAGATTATTAATAAAATTTTTTAAGATATTAATTTAGCCAGAGTTTGGATTTGGCAGACTATAATAGTTTTGGATTTGGGCAGCAAGTATAATCACATTAAACTAAAATTCACGAACGAGAAAGAATTTGATATGAATGTACCATTCATAGTTGTAAATTCTGCAATTAGTACAAGATGGAGGATCAGAACCAGGTTGAACACCATCGCATCGAACTTTTTTCCTTCTGCAAGTATCACAAGCTCTAGCCACTCTGCGTCGTTTACTTGATTCTTCTTCGCCTGACATGATTATAAAATCGACTTATTTTCAAATGTAATTATATACTGTATTTATTTTAATCTCAAAAATAATTCTAAGGATTTGTCTTTTTTAATATTGCTTGTAAAATGCAATTCTGAGAAACGTTTATTTACACCCTTTGATAAGTCGTTTTTTTGCTAATTATAGATTTATTCTTTTTATGTGTAAAGAGACTAGAAATTACGAGATGTACACAAAGACAAGATACCTGTGCGCAACTAAATTTTTAATTATAAGTTAGGGGATAAAATTAAATTTTAAATATATAATAAATAATTCATACTTATATACAAATAAAAGTATACGTACGTACGTACGTACCAATGATCAATTTCTGCGGTATAGATGTATATATGCACATACGAGATCAAACAACTACCTAATCCGGGTCGTAGGAACTAGTAACTTCAACTCCGACATTAGTAATCATCAGCGACAAATTAAAATAGTGCACATAAATTAGGAAAGATTTTCCATCAAAAGAAAATCGGATATAAAAATGAATGCACTTTTTTTGGACTTGGCTCCGTTTGGTAAATTGGCATCTTAGTTACATGAAAATTTACTTGTTTATTATGGCGCAGTTAATACCACATAACGATTAAGGTAAGGAAGGTATTGAGTAAAACTGAGTAAAGTAGCACTGTACGGTGTATTTAGTATGTATGTACATACGCAAGCTTATTTTTTCTACAAATAGTGGTGCAAACGTAATTAAATAATTAATCACGACCAATAGCCTCTCTCGTTAAAATCGATTTTCCGGAAAGTTTTTTTATATTATCATAATTAAGTTTAATATATAATTATTTTTACAGTCAACCTTGATATACTATTTCTGTTACAGTAAGTACGTACGTACGTTTCCACTAAAACTGTATCTAAAGCAGATTAATGGTTTGCAAACCTGATATACATTAAGATAATAAGAGTGGCCACAAATTGTCTGTTTCCGGAATTTTAAAAGATCTGCGGATCTGATTCTTTATATATTGAGGGTTTCAGGACGTGGGGATCTTGCGATCTTTAGGCAAATACTTATACCGGGTTGGTGAAAAGTAACTGAACAGCGACCTTTTTTTAAACTATTGATTATCACTTAACGTTTATACCAGTATTACGTAGATATAATAAATAATTATAGAAGGTCAATATTAGCGGAGATGGTAAAATAGGTCACTGTTCAGTTACTTTTCACCAACCCGTAGAATGTGTGTGTATTCCTTAGAAGCAATTGCGTTTCTGGGGAGGGTTTATAAAATCGGTAATCAAATCATAATAATAATGAGGGTTACATATATAGTAGAAAACAGATAAATTAATAGCTTACTTATATTTCAATTTTAAAACTATTTTAACGATTCAATAAGTGAAAGAAAGTTTAAGATCTAAGCTTTTTTTTTTTGGTTATTGGAACATTAAAGGTAGGGTACATTTTTTTTTAATGCCAGTCTGTTTTTTTATCGCTATTGACGGCAGCCCATATTATTTTATTGGCTTTTTTTTGAAAAATTACCTTTCACACAAATATATAATTGGCAATTTGAACATTTCCGACGATTGTAGATTAAATGATGCTCTGTAAATCACCTGGATCCGGAAAGTACAGGTTATTATGCGGCACTTGGCTCCTGACAAATCATCAATGATTCCATTCTTCTATTATGATCGAAACATCTAGAAATTGGTTATACACGTGCTTTATTATGCTCTGCACTAGAGATGCAAAATCGGCTTGTATATTCAGTATAATAAAAACCGATTAATCAATAGACCTCTACATATGTAATTAGACCTAGTGATGATACCCGAGTTGAATATTACCCGGGTTATCTGCAGATAATCGGATGCGTACTCGAGGTCATAGGACGACTTTCTTCTGATTGGCTGATGTAAATCAATTGCCCGGGTAACTTATTTATACACTTTAAAGTACTTTTTGAGAACGTAACGTTTCACTAACAAAAAAATCACCTTGAAAGCAAATTCTAGCTCTAAACGAACGTAGATATTCACTGTTAAAATTAATC